TATTTCAATCATGGATAGCAAAAATTTACCAAGATTCTTTAATATTGCAATTTTTCGTACAATGAAGCTTAAAGCACTTTATTCAAAGCCCATACTATCTGAATTAATTATATAATTTCTAAACTAATTAATTTAATAAAATAAAAATTAGTATATTACCAGTATTCATCAACTCCACTTCAGAGTAAATAATCATTTTAAAATCGAACAAAATTTTCAAAAAATAGTAATACCAATCATTATAAGAGTTTTTCTACATACTACCTTACATCATATCTACAAAACTTCAATCTTAAAGACACTTTAAAGATATAATAAATACGTTCATAGGTAAAAAATTATTATTACTGTTATATTCGGTTTATCTTTGAAGTTTAAGATAAATATTTTAAGATGTGTCAAAAATTGTGAAACCAACCGTTCCAACCGTACCAACCTCAATGCATGAAAAGTTCAGGAGCTTAAAAGAATTCAGCGTCGTGGTAACATATGACTTGAGGACTAACTGCAAAGATAATGAAGTTCCAAGAACCTTATGGCTTAGATAAGAAAGAAATAAAACAAAAATCCTGTTGGACTTCATGAGATGCAATTCATTAATCACTTTTTACGTCTTTGCTCGGAACTACACACGAATAAATATCATTGCTTTATAAAGGTTTCCTTCCTTGGCTTGGCAGAGATGACGAAAATTGACTTGTCGTATCTACTAAGCATTACCTAAATGTTTTAACAGGAACAATACTTGAAGTTAATATCAATTAGTCTAACTCGTGTACAATTAGAGATTTTGGGGTGCCAATGATACCTTCTATTATTTTGTTATTAAACAGAGTTAAGCTTTCTAAGCTCTCATAATAATGTAGTAAAATTAATAGGAATGCGCTTGAAGACAGAGATAGCACCTCACTCCTAAAATAGTTGCGTCGTATAACTTACTAGAGACACCAGTTTCTCATCAGAACTCTAAATCTATCACTTTGATTCTAAAGGTATGATATCTTGGAGATCAAGTCAACTGACAGCTAAATTTAAATTATGAGTAGGAATTAAGGTCGCCTTGATTTGATTCAAATTTGAGTTCATGAGTCACAATATTACTTATATATTATTAGAATAATCTTTATTAAATTCGTTTCTATACAAATTTTTGTTCGAACTTATATTTATGCTCATCAATAAGGTCAAATGTTATGAAATATTAATTGCAGAACTCGTTAATATTCAGAATAATTTATGGAAAACATCTAAAGGTGCATCCATTCGCGTGAAAAAAATGTGTCTATATACCTTGACAAATGCAAAAATGTTCTGTGTGCTTTGTACACGAGTATGTATGTGCTTTGTATGCATACTCATATAACAAATAAAAATTAATTACAAATGGTAAAGAGTTTGTAGACAGAGCCAAGATTATACGAGCTTACGTGAAATAGTGTCGCTAAGGAGGTCTGGTATCCCTGTTATTGAGTTTTTTTTTAAAAGAATGAAAAATAAAAGATTAAATTAATTTTATATTAATTCATAATTTCTCTGGCATTAGCAATACTTGTTATAACTACTATTTAACACTACTTTAATACACTTAGTCCTAGAAATTTTAATAATCGTGTGAGTTTGAGGTGATGTTTCTAAAGAAATAGAGGTACGAAGTTAAATGAACTTTAAAGAAATAATGGTTTTAGTAGTAAAATCTTATCCCTATACTTTTCTAACCTTCTTGATTTTCTTGAAATTTGTTTTGATTATTTATGGTAGAGAATTGATATCAAAAATTTCCTTTCATTCTTAGGCATATAAATCTCGGAGTGTTTGGTAATTTGTTCATTAACTGAAATTTAGACTGTTTTTCAAGGAAACTTTAAAAACTGACTAAGTATAGTTGTCAATCATTTAGCATATCAATGTTGCAGGTCTGCTTTATTTTATATTCAATATCTTAAAATGGCTTTCTATGTGACAGTGGAAACTTCATACGATATCATATCATATATAATCGTTATGAATGAATTATGTCCTTTTTAAGCGATGTCTACTTACTTATATTTGTCTACAAATCATTATTTCTTTTTTTTTATTTTTAATTTAGTTGATTCTTATAGGAATATTGTATGAAACTGAAGTTATTCTCAAGTCATTAAGTTGCGCCAAGGCTAATGTTCGTAAGACTAGCTGATTGACCTTTCAATTCTACATTTCTGTGTTCTATATCTCTGTGACTACGATATTGATTAAACTTTTTATTTTAAATTTCAATCTAATTTCGGTATTAATAAGTCAAGCAATAAGTCAAATTAATATAATAAATTAAATCATGCTTTAAAGTTAATCATAATTAAGATATTAATATGAGAATTTATTAATTTTAAGTTTGATTGAGTCAGTGTTTGAAAGATATATTGTGTTTTAAGAACTGCATCATATTTGCGCTATGACAAGTAATCTATTTCGCATAGAAAAGTGTTGGTAATACGTATAAGTAGGTACATTAATCAGAAATGTCATTATCTCTATTCAATACCCTCTTACTTAATATTTTATATATTATTACTTAATATTCATTTAATTATTAGAGCAAAAGATTTGAGAAACACCAGCTGCATGAATCTATAATAATCCTCAAATTCAATAATTTTCTTGACTGCTTAAGTGATTTCATAAGTAGAAGGAAATTCTAAGTATGCAAGCCACAATTTGTACTATTGGCATTAAGGCAATACATACAATATATTCAAATGAAACCCATTTATAATAATATACATATATATACTCACATTAACCAAAGTTATATATACAACTAATTGTACTAAGTAATATGCATGTAAGTAGGACTCTGACAATGCAGCCCTAGTTACTTACCAGGATTTAAGCTGTGGCATTAAAGCCGAAACAAAGAAATTTCAGGATTTAAATGGAAAACAATTTTGTAGTGCTTTTGACTGCATGAAGAGTTTGTACTTAAAATAAATCATGGACGTTCCGTACGTTGTGCATTTAAGAGTGTGCAATGGATGAACACTTATCTGAGTTGAAGCATTTAAAATGTAATTCAACCGCAACATGCTTCGCAAATGTCTGCCATTTGGACCTTTCGCATTACTTAACGCAGAGAAAGAAATTATATTAAAAGCCCATAAAAGTAACTACGTATATTGCCAAATGTGCAAAGAATTTGATGACAAAATTTTCTAAAGATTCTTCTGAATCGATTTGCCTTGAACGTTAGTTTCTATTGGCTCGCATATTCGATCTTAATGTATAGCAGCAATTTGTGTTAGAAACTTTTACTTTCTTTGACTGAACTAAAATCAATTCAATTTACAAAACATTGGCTTTCACACAAATATTGAATTATTTTCATATTTGAAGCGAACACTGGACAACTGGACAGAGTGTGCTGAACATGTTTGAGTATCCTTTCATGAACGCGAAAAAACTGTTAACAAACAGAAGGCTCTGGCCAGTTTGGTTATGGCATAGCCAATTTCATTCCATTTCAGTTCAGTGTTTTTGTCCGATTTGTATGTCATTCTGCTCGAAAGTCGAGCATTGTTGAGCGTTGACCTTGCAGTGTGTACACTGTGTACAGTGTGTACCACTTCTGCAAGTTGGTCAAGTTGGATTTTTGCTAAATGTTTGCATGAGCTGCCTTGCCTTTTCGATGTGTGCTTGGAGTGCTTACACAGTGTCTTCATTTATAATTTATGACTGAGAAAAGGACGAAGAAACTCTTGCTCCTTAATTCCATTAATGTGTGCACACTGCTCAGGCGTATGAGTTATGTGCAGTTGTGTTTAATGTATGCTGAGGTTTTGCATGAAATATGCAGTTCAAGTTTTTTCCTGAAGTTCCAACTCCCAAAAGTTTTTAAGGATTTCAAATGAGCTATTTTTCATTAGTGTGAGATGAATTCGGATAGAACTTTTTAAATATTTATAGCAATATTGAATAAATTCGTTATAAATCAGTAACTATCTTAAGAGAATCAGTTAATGAAACTGAAAAGATAGTGACCAGATTTGGAGTATTTCATTAATTTTGAATTGGGAACTGGTACTACACCATAGGAAATGCTGTTATCTTTTGGTTGAAGTTTTTTTCTTTGGCTAGAAAGGTGTTTGATTCAGTACTCGCAGGTGAAAAACGCGGTAGAGAATGTCCGCATCTTCGGTGGAAAGACTAGGTGCCCAACAATTTGGGGGTGCTCTGTACTACCAACTGGGGACAGCAAACAACGAATCGGGCTGGCTGGCGGAGACTACTCGAAGCGGCCAAGGATGATTCACGTCTGTAATGGCCAACTTAGTAAGTAAGTAAGTAAGCATATTTTAAGAAAATACATACTCGAACAAAGAATATTCTTGTTGTTTGAGGACTAACTTAGCGGCGGCAGTGAAGGAAGAAAGCGAAACTGTTATAATGCAGTTGTAAGCTGTTAGTAGTAGAGAGCAGAATTTCAATAGGTTTTGCAAAAAGTTGTCCTTTCTAGGTCGATAACCACTGTGATACGTGAATCAGTTCTTTGCAAAATATTTTTCGCTTGTAGTGTGTAGGAGCTGGGGAATCTAGTTGTGGATTTCCGAGCCAAAAGTCTCTTCAGTTTTTGAGCCATTAGTGTACCAGAAAAAGTCAGTGGTACTTATATTGCATTTATTCTTTTTTCACCTTATTTTGGTGGATATTATGTATATGTATTATCTGTTAGTCATATATTTTGAGAATCAAATCTCTAGATTGTTTTAATTTGATTAACGCATTTTTTCACTAATCATACATTATTTGTTTAGTAGACTACTGTGATATGCTGATGTCTTCATATGCTGATGGATGTTAACATCTAAACTTCGAGTCCTAACGGCATAATACCTTCTCAGGTATTTAACGCCCCAATGGGAGTT